AATCTCTAATACAGTTTCAGCCTGCTTAACTTCAAACCTAAGTCCTTTAGATATATCCTCATGCTGTAAGTGAATAATGCTTTCATCTAATTTATCTATGTTACAAAATACACTGTCAATACACTTTACAGTGAGTTCTGCAAAGCACTTTGAGTCACGCTCCCAGCCTCAAATAAGCTATATTGAATGCAAGGATTATTATAAAAAATTGGCAAATTCCTGAACCAGTCTGAATTTAGAAACAGGTTCTCCGTAAGATCTTTTCAGACCTGAAGAAAACTTGCTTCAAAGTTGAGATTAAATTCAATAATTTACTAAATTCTGGATTCTCTGAAATGCTATGACAGTAGAGCAAATAGATGTAGTACAGGTGTGATTTCTACTTCAATCCAGTGAGTTATTACGACAGTGGTATTTATCTGTTTGAGTGTACTTTCTCTGAATGAGAGTGTAACTTCTTTAACTGGTTTCTACAAAGCTGAATCAGCACTTCCATGGGGGAGATCTGGACTTGTTTCTAATTTTAGAAATCCAGTTAATTGCCCTTACCAATTAGATATCAGCTCAATCAGCGTCTCCCTACAACTCTTACCAGTAGTATGACCTTGTCTTGTTCTTGGCAGCACTCACCTTCCAGGTCTCTGTAATTCTACCATATCTTTTCAATTTGAAATAAATTATCAATTATGCAATGTTGTGTAAATATAGGCATATAAATACTGTTTGCTTCATTATGTCAAATGATTGTCAGCAGTTCATTAATAATGTCAGCATTTCATTAATAAAAGCAAGTTAGTCCATTCTATTGACTAACTAATTATACAGTAAATTTTCACCATACATTTGGAACTTTGAAGGAAGAAGAGAGTAAAGTTCATAGATGCCATGACCATAATAATATTGCCAACATAAAGACAAGAAAAGTTAGAATCATAGAAATGTATAGCACATTCAGTCTATTGTGTCTGTGCTGGCTCTTTTAAAAGCAATCCTTCTAGTCTCAGTTAGATCAGAGATAGAGAGAAAGATGTTTCAATTTCAGAGGTGAGAAAAGGATTGCTTATAAATAAGCCATTTCGAGCATCATTTAAGAATGTAAGATGCTCGTAGAGACTATCCACATATAGAAACAATACTCAAGTTGTGACTTAGGCTTTATACACAGGTAATGCTGTAGCTGTTGAGAAGAAAAGAATGGAGACATGTAATATGTAACGGAGCTTCAAATGGAGACAAGTTTACCAATGGAGATGATTGAGATCAGAGGACATGGAGAGGTCAAGAATGTTTGTCATTAAAAAAGAACTAAACATAAAGATATTAAACATAGCATATGGTAGCTGTTTGTTGGACATGTCAGATGGCACAATCTTTTCCCACTTGTTTCTGGAGAATAAATGTGGGCAGGAAAGATAGATGGTAAAATCAATTCTGTATCACAGGTGAAGAGGGAGTGCAAAAAGCATCACGATAAGGAGGGTTTCTGTAAGGCTGAGCTAGCTCCAAGTTGACATACTTGGCAAAAGATTGATGGAATCAAGTCAATCTCATGTGGTGGTCTCAGTAGTCCGTTTCCTGAACCAGATGGAGCTTTAGAGCTCCAAGACAAGTGTGCATAAACAGACCACCTAGCCTTGCTTGTAGGCAGGACGGAGGGACAGAACAGTCATTAGGGGCAGAGATTCTTCCCACTCAGCTCCTGTTAACCTCCTACAAGCTAAAGCTCTAATGTTTCAGGTAGTGGTAGCAGATCAAGCAGCACAAAGGTTGCCAGACAATATTCTCAATGACAAGCTATCCAGATTTAGCTAGTTAAACTCCAACAGTACCCCAATGTACAGTCTAGAATTCCTTTGAAATCTTGTCCTTACTAATCTCCAGACTTCAGTAAGTGGGGTGCGTCCCTCCAGGGAGAGAGTGCATGTTCCATTCCAGGTGTAGGGAGATTTCCAGGAGGGTGTCATACATATGTGAAACTCTAGTTTGGATACTCAAGCAAAATGATGGATTTCCATATGTGTCACACACCTGGCTGACCAAAAAAGAAAAGTATTTTAGCAAGATCTGCAGATAGACAGATTAAGGAGAAATCAACATTTCAGATAGGAAATTCCTTGAACCTCAAACTGAGTGATCTAACTGGAGGTGAATGAAGCCAGTCACTGACCATTAAGTTCAGTGAAAGAATAAGAGGCAACATTCTTCATCTGAATAAGCAGGAATAATATTGAGAAATAATGAAATACCAGTAATTTAGGTTCCAACTTTCATTGATAGTAACGTCAATGTAAATTTCTATAGCTCTATAGGAATATAACTACTTGCTTAAGCAATGCATTTGTTTTCTAAGTGGAGTATCATATTCTTATTGGAACTATTACAGATTTTTAGTCTACAACAATAACATTTCAGACAACCAGTACTGTTCTGATAAAGCAGAGGATCCAACATCATCCATAATTTGTGATCATGACACAGAAATTAAAGCATAACTGACCTGGCCTTTGTGTTCAAGAGTTTTTTTATTAAACTTTATTCTGATGTTCGAGTGTGCCTCCTTGTGTGAGACATTTGCTAATACTGTATCCTGTATTCTCCAATAAGACGAGGTAACTCTTCATAAAAGTTTTCATCCAATTCCTAGATCAGAGAGCATCGATATATGGTCACTAGCAAATGAGTAAATGGGGTGGTTAGGAGATTTTTTTCATGCACAGAGTGGTAAGGGTATGGCTGGGATCAGTAGTTGAGGCAGAATCCATATTACCTTTCAGAAGGAAACTAGATGGGTACAACAATAACAAATTGCATTTATGTAACACCTTTCATAGTGGAATGACGTCCCAAGTTGCTGGATAACAAAAATTGAGTAAACTACACAGATATGGGGAAAGGGTAGGTAAATGGGACTGAAAGGAATGTTCTTTAGGAGAAACAACAGACACGTTGAGCGATATGGGCTTCTTCTGTGCTGTAACTTTCTGTGGAGTCCTGTAGCTCAGTGGTTAGAGCACTCGCTTTGCAAGTGAGAGACCTGAGTTCAATTCCAGGCAGTGCGAAACCTTGGGCAAGTTTCCTTACTCCACACGCCTAATAATAATTCCTCCAAAAACCAAAAACAATAATAAATTGGTCATTTTCAATCTACGACTGTTTGTGGGACATTGCTGTGCGCAATTGGCTGCCGCGTTCGCCCACAAATATACAGTCAATTCACTTTACAGTGTGTTCTGTGAAGCGCTTTGGGACGTCCTCCTGACGTGAAAAGCGCTATATCAAATGCAAGGATTATTATTATTATTATTATTATGGTTCCTCAGCAAGGAAGTTTTGCATGACTTAGCAGAAAATGTGTTTTTCTTTTTAAAAACATTTACAAACAAAAATTCAAATTGTATTTCAGAATTACAAAATTGCAGAATTGCACCTTATTAAAGTGGTTCTGCATATAAATGCAATATAAATTCTTGATATCTTCTCCTTTTTGGTACATATATCAAAGATAAAAGAGCCCACACAGCCTTAAAGATTTCCACTAGAATCAATACCTGTCTCCATTCTTTGCCCTTTCAATGGGAATTATTTATGATCCTATATAACTATGCCTACCCTCAACTCTTGGAACTGATCAGAGAGAAAACAACACATTGTGCCTTCTGTAAGCTTTTTTAGTGTCTGTCTCCACTAAATGAGATGCTTACAGTTTCAAAACAATACCATCTCATCTTTTAATGTGAGTAAGAATCTTACAATGACCAGCGGCATTATTAACACTTAACAACCATCTATTGTGGAAAAAAAAGTTCTACTTCCTACTAATGAATGTCAAGGAGACTCGTCTTTTACAGTCTAAGATATAAAAATGATCCAGTCATTCCCCTCATTCTATTTCAATTTTTCACCTACCTATATCTGGCAGTGTTCAAGCATTATCAGGCCACGCCTGCACTTTCATCTCATTAAAGATAAAAGTTACTCTGTGCTCCTTTTAAGTTATTCTGCTCAAAATATGTACAGTATACCCTTCTTCATGATTAATTTAACAATGATAATAATAACCCTTATAATTGAGGTAGTGTGTTTTATGTTGGAAGGATATCTCAAAGCACTTCAGAGTATATACTGTAAAGTGCAACAAATTTGTAGGCAATTTTGCAATATCTTGTCATTTTCTTTCTTCCAGTCCTGAAGGTGTAGACATAGGATAAAGATCTATGTGCACCAATTGTGCTCCAATACTTTTCCCAATTAAAAATAACAATAGAAGGGAAGGGAGTTTCTCCGGTGTACAGGCCAACAATCCCCAAAAAACATTCACTTCCACAGAGGTGAATTCTGTGGAATTTGCCCAAACAATCGCACCACTTTACAGAATATCTTTTGAAGTGCTTTGAGATGTCTCCATGACTTGATATCAAATGCAAGGGTTAACAATGAGTCAAACAGCCTTTGATTCTTGGGGTAAATTGGGATTAAGAGGGGAATATAAACCAGGCTAACTGGGAGGAAATCTCCATGTTTCTTTGAAATTCCAATGGAGGGCAATTCCTTCACGTTCACCTGTGAATCTTAAGGTAGAAAAAAAAATTAATAATCTAATCCAAAAAAATGTTGCCAATCTCTGAATAAACTATGAATAAATATATAAAACAGTAGGTTGCTATCTTGGCAAAAAGAATAGCTGAACTCTGCGCTGGCAATTCCACAAACAAGAAGTGACATTAAAATTGAGCATGAAGAAATGAGAAATGTTTACATTGAGTACAATAAAAAAAACTGAAGTGAGTTGTGCCTCTGCTGAGCAATCAGAGGACCAATATCATTCTGTTGGAAGTGTATTCGCCTGTAAAATACTCAGTCACTACACTATACAGTAAATCTTGTGAAGCCCTTTGAAACATTTCATTAGCTTGATAATGTGCTTTATCTCATGGAGAATTATTGTTTTATTATTGTATATGAAAACAATCTGAATTTGTACTTTCCTTTCCAATTTACAGCGCTGATGATAGATTTGATGCTACTTACCACACCAATGTTCTTGTCAATTCCAGCGGACGCTGCCAATACCTCCCACCAGGTAAATAAGGAGGAATGTCTATGGAAGGGAGGTACTGTTTTTGCAATCTGTGGGGCCTTGTGTGTGTCCTACAATTCATGTACAAAACCAAGACATCAGAATAATCAGTGCTCATTTATATTGGATTTATATTCCAGCCAAATCTAGCCAGCGACTAGCTTCAGTAAAGACACTTCAATATTCACGAAGCTCCAACTACAATATGCACACAACACTGCAATGTACGCAGAACATCAACAATGCAATATGCATGGAAAACTAACCCTGCAATTTATACAAATCACCAACATTACAATATAGTCACATCAATACTATCATATACACTGAACACAAACACTGCAACATACAGAAAGATTTAACATTGCAATATTACACCCAAAATCAACATTGTAATATACACAGAACACTAAACGCTGTAATATACACAAAGCTTAGTTCTGAAGTACAACAACAACAACAAAATTACATTTGTATAGCGCCTTTCACGTCGGGAGCATGTCCCAAGGCGCTGGACAGACAGAGTTTCAGACTCGAGCTCGGGGTCTGGATCGGTGTGGGTGGAGGGCAGTGGGGGAAGGAAGGTGACCGAAGGCACGGTCGAAGAGGACGTACTTGAGATGGGTCTTGAAGGTGGCAAGCGAGGGGTCGAGGCAGAGGGACTGCGGGATGAAGTTCCAGAGGGTGGGTGCAGAGTGGCAGAAGGCCCGCCTGCGAATAGTGGGAGTGAGCAAGGCAGGGGACGTGAAGCAGGCCAGAGCCCGCTTAGCACAGGGAACGAGCAGGATGGTAGGGGGTTAGGAGGTCACAGAGGTAGGGGGGAGCAAGACCTTGAAGGGCTTTGAAGGTGAGGATCAGGATCTTGAACTGTATCCTCTGTGTGATGGGAAGCCAGTGGAGTCAGGCGAGGATGGAGTTGATAGGGTCATGGAGCCTGGTGCGGGAGAGGACATGGGCTGCAGAGTTCTGGATGATCTGCAGCTTATGGAGGGAGGAGTTGGGAGGCCGACAAGCAAGGAGTTTGTATAGTCAAGCCTCGATGTAACAGGGTCTCTTCACATAAAGGAACCTCTAAAGTGACAATCTTATTCAGAGCCACCACAGTATGACTGTCATGTGGAGCATGGTTGTGCCCAAAGCTTTCCATGGCTGCCATTGGAATTGCCACCTAAGGAGCACAGCGGTTGAATCCACTTGGTGAGATTCTGACTGAATTCTGTATCAGTATTTTTACTGAATTCTGAGGGATAGGGTGAAAAGAGAGAGTTCACCTAGCCAATTATTCAAATAATTATCGATTGCAAAAATGTTTTATCAGAGTGGCAGGGTAGCTGCCTATCTCAATTGGCAACACTCTCGCCTCTGAATCAGAAGATTGTGTGTTTAAGACGCACGTCAGGACTTTGAACTGATAAATCTAGAATGACAGAGTGCAATAGTGGGGGATTGATGCTTTGTCAGATGTACTGACCTTTCAAAGAGACATTAAACTGAGATCCCATCAGCCTGGTGGATGTTAAAGGTATCATGGCAGTATTCAAAAAGAGAAGGGAGTTTTTCCTGGTTTCCTGGCCAAAAGGCCCACAAATAAAATTGACTGTTTATGCATTTGGGGGACTTTGCACAGCAATTATCACATGTGGCATTTTTCACCTTATTATTTCCACAACCACAAAAGAAACTCCAGGGTTTATATTTTTAATATGCATTTTAAATGGGATTCTGGTGGAAAATTAACCGTGAGCATGTATAAAAACATATATTTGTAAGTATTTAATTCGAATATGTTTGCAAACTCTAGGTATATTGAAGAGTACGTGTTATATTGATGTCCGCTGGTTCCCCTTTGACATCCAGAAGTGTGAATTAAAATTTGGCTCCTGGACACATAATGGCTGGATGATCGACTTGCAGATGATGGAAGCTGATATTTCAGGCTATATACCAAATGGGGAATGGGATCTTGTTGGTAAGTTTGATTTCCTATAGTTGTTTCACCTATAAAATACAGTCACTGCACTTTACTGTCAAGTGCTTTGAGTCATCCTCCTGACGTGAAAGGCGCTATAGCAAATGTAAGGATTATTATTGTGATGTGCATTGTTGATCAATATTTTCTAAGCAATAGTAACCTTTCAGATGTTGCTTTCCGGGATATTGATTGAGTTAAATTCGTATTAACTGGTTTCAAAAACCTTCCTATAAAGCTACCTGCTACCCCCTCCCACCTTAGTCAAGTTCCCATACCATCTCTGTAAAGCCTTTCATATGCTATGCAATTATTAATTTTATTGTTCTCATCTTACAAAGTGTCATTGAATGACAGCCACAATCTAAGATCCACTTATTGCAAAGAAGGAAGCCCTTCAGCCCATCGTGCCTCTGCTGACTCTTTGAAAGAGCTATCCAATTAGTCTCACTCCCTCGCTCTTATCCCACAACCCTGTAAATTTTTGCTTTTCAAGTATATATACAATTCATTTTTGAAAGTTATTATTGAATCTGTTTCCACCACTCTTTCAGGCAGTACATTCCAGATTGTAACAACTGCTGCATAAAATAATTTCTCCTCAGTTCCCCTCTGGTTCTTTTAGCCGCTAACTCTTGGTTGCCGCGTTTCATCCACAAAATATATAGTCAATTGACCTATATATTCTGCAAAACACTTTGAGACTCTCGAAGACGTGATAAGGTGCTATATCAAATGCAAGCATTATTATTATTATAGTAAGAACCTAGCAAATCTGTCCTTGCGGTCTATGAGCCCATCTTTGTAGTCCCCTCCTGCCTGAGTGGATATTCCATTTTGGTCCTTGCTGCCCAGGTGCGCAGAATCCCAGCCTAACTTGCAGGGACGGGAATCGGGACATTATTTCACCATCTTGATGCGGTTGACACATTCCAACCGGATTTTGGTTTGTCATTGCCGTGTGGGATTTTAACAGCATCAACAACAACGACGACAACAACTTGGATTTATATAGCGCCCTCCACGCCGGACGGTGTCTCAGAGCGCTTTACACTAACAGATCCCGGACCGAGCCAGGGGAAGGGGGGGGAAGGTGACCAAAGGCGCGGTCGAAAAGGAAGGTCTTAATAATAATAATAATAATAATAATAATCCTTGCCTTTGACATAGCGCTTTTCACATCAGGAGGACGTCCCAAAGCGCTTCACAGAACATACTGTAAAGTGAATTGACTGTATATTTGTGGGCGAACGCGGCAGCCAATTGCGCACAGCAATGTCCCACAAACAGTCGTAGATTGAAAATGGCCAATTTATTATTGTTTTTGGTTTTGGAGGGATTATTATTAGGCGTGTGGAGTAAGGAAACTTGGCCAAGGTTTCGCCCTCTGCCTGGAATTGAACTCAGGTCTCTCACTTGCAAAGCGAGTGCTCTAACCACTGAGCTACAGGACTCCGTGTCTTCAGCAGAGACCTGAAAATGGGAAGAGAGGGAGCGAGATGAAGGGAGTGAGGAAGGCAGTTCGAGAGCCTTGGGGCATAGTGGCTGAAGGCACAGCCACTGAGGGTGGAGTGGAGGACTGGGGGACGAGGAGGAGGCCAGAACCGGAGGAACGAAGGCAATGGGTACTGTTTTGAGGAGAGAGGAGGTCAGAGAGGTAGGGGGGTGCAGAAGAGTGCAGGGACTTGATATACAAGGGTGAGGATCTTGAAATCGATCCTCTCTGGGATAGGCAACCAGTGCAGTCTGGCAAGGACTGGGCTGATCGGGGAGCTGAGTTTGGTGCGGGTGAGAATGCGGGCGGCAGAGTTTTGAATGATTTGGATTTTATGAATGGTAGTGGATGGGAGACCGGCGAGGAGGGTGTTAGAGTAGTCCAGCCGAGAGGTGACAAAGGCATGGACCAGAGTTTCAGCGGCTTTTGGGGAGAGGTATTGGCGAAAACGGACGATGCGTTGCAGGTGGAAGAAAGCGGTGCTGGTGAGGGACCGGATGTAGGGGAGGAAGGATAATTGGGGGTCGAACCTGACTCCTAGGTTGCGTACGGGGCATTTATCAACTTGCATTTATAAAGGGCCCTTCATGCGTGGTAACCTCTCGGATTGCTGAACATTGTATTTAAACTGCTTGCGGTGTAACTGTGAAATCTAAGTATAATCAAGGTATCACAGTCTGTATTTCACAGCTGCTTGTGATCTCCAGGGAGCCTCTGCTTTCAGGCCTGTGGTTCATGAACACAATACTTGCTGAACAGTTCTAAAGTGTCTGAATCTTTTATGCACCAAGAATGTTCAACACTGTGCAAAAACTCCTGTTGCTTGAATAATTTTCTCAGAGGAATTCTGTCTCACAATCACAGCATTCACGACCAAATGGATTGCAGTTCATGGCCTGTCACAGATCTTCCCTCAGACAATATTCTGCTCTCAAAGCACCTGCACATCCGTGCTAGAGGTTTGCCCAAATCTTCAGCATTATCTTCCACTGTTACAATGGAATTTCCCCTTGGAAGCAGGAACAGATCCAGCCACTAAGACAGTTGTCCTATAATATACAGAAAAAATATTGTTTCATATCATAGACTCTGCACATGTTTGAACATAGTGGGGTGTGTTCATTTTGGGGAAATTTGGTATGTAATGATGCACTGTTCAGATTAAAGTTTAATGTTAAAATTAATATTTTTTAACATCCATCATGAAACTTTTAGGTCCTGGATTGTAGCCATTCAATGCTGCCTTGCTAGGCTAAGAACAACAAAAGCAACAACCTGCATTTACACAACATCTTTCACAGAGGATCATGCCCATGTTATTGTTTTATTGTTTATATATTCTATATTTATTATTTATGTTTTTGTAATTTATAATAATTAAATATTTATAACTTATTATTGAAAGAACACCTTTCTGCTCTTCGATGGGCCAAACGGTCCCCTTTCGCACTGTAAATTTCTATGAGTCTATAAAGTAGACTCCACTGAGAAGATCCGAGGGCAAATTATCCCATCACATACCACACGGGCTCTAATTCAGAATAATAATAAAAGCTTGCAAGTTTATGGCACCTTTCTTGCAAAGTAAATACCTTGCTGCACCCCACATAATAGAGTAGAAATGAAAGTGAATGTTGCAACATGGCCAATATACAGAATTAATAATAATATTAATAATAGTTATATAATAATACCAATAATAATAATGGGCATATAGGTAAAAGTCATCAAACAGATCACATTTAGGTCAATTCTGTTCATACTTCCCCTTAAATGAATTAAAATACAGTGAACTAATGAGTGTTGAGTATTTTCTACAAACCAAAAAAAGGATGAATGTCAGTGCTGTGAATGGTATAAACATACAACATGTCAGCAGAATGCAGTTAGAGAGAGATAAGTTAACGAGGACAGATGTCTCCTGGATTTTGATTATGGAGATCCTGAGAGATGGTAACTCTAATTACCTGCCCTATCCCCATATCCCCTAATCCCTCTATTTTTTAAAAATATGTCAGTCTCAGCCTTGAAAATGTTCAAGGACTGAGCATCTACAGCCTTCTTGGGTAGTGAATTCCATAAATTCACTACCCTCTGAGTGAAGAAATATTTCCTCAACTCTGTTATAAAAGGCTGACCCTTAATTTTAAGACTGTGACCTCTGGTTATAGATTCTCCTACCAGGGGAAACAGTCCCTCAGTGTCTACTTTATCAGCCCTTTAAGAATCTTATATGTTTCAATAAGATCTCCCCTAATTCTTCTGTACTCTAGAGAATATAGCCCTAGTTTATTCAGCCTATCCTGATAGGTCAGTCCCCTCATCCCAGGAACTAACTGAGTGAATCTACGCTGCACCCCCTCTAGGGCAAGTAATTCCTTTTTTAAATAAGGAGATCAAAACTGCACACAATACTCTAGGTGCGGTCTCCCCAAGGCCCTATACAGTTGCAGCAAGACTTCCCTACTCTTGTACTCTAAACCTTTTGCAATGAACGCTTACATGCCGTTCGCCTTCTTAGTTGCTTGCTGCACCCGCAAACTAACTTTTTGAGACTGGTGTACAAGGACACCCAAATCCCTCTGAACACTATCATTATCTAATCTCTCCCCCTCTAGAAAATAATCTGTTTTTTATTTTTTCTACCTAGGCGAATAACTTCACACTTCCCCACATTAAGTTCCATCTGCCACCTACTCGCCCACTCCCCTAGCCTATCTATATCCCGTTGCAATCTTTTTGCATCATCCTCAGAGTTTATTCTCCCACCTAGTTTAGTGTCATCCGCGAATTTAGATACGTTACATTCAATGTCTTCGTCTAGATCATTGATGTAAATTGTAAATAGCTGAGGCCCAAGCGCTGATCCTTGTGGCACTCCACTAGTCACATCCTGCCAATTCGAGAATGACCCGTTTATCCCTACTCTCTGTTTTCTACCCGTTAGCCACTCTTCAATCCAAGCTAATATGTTCCCATTAATCCCGTGGGCCTTAATCTTGTGCAATAGCCTTTTGTGTGGCACTTTGCCAAATGCCTTCTTAAAATCTAAATATACTACATCTACTGGTTCCCCCCTATCTAACCTGCTAGATACATCTTCAAAAAACTAAAAGATTAGTTAAGCATGACTTCCCTTTTGTAAAGCCATGTTGACTCTGCCTAATCTTGTTATGACCTTCCCGGAATATTTGAAAAGTGAAGGCCTGTACTCTGGCCAATAATCCCCCAAATACATTGATCATTCACCTTAATTCTGTTTGTGGAACTCTGTTATTCATAAACTGGCTACATGTTTGTCAACCAAAACAGTAGTAACTCCCTATAACAGTAATTACCATGAAGCACTTTGAGATATTTTATTGCTATTTAACAATGCAATTTTTTTTTCTTTTTACCTTCTATAAGTGATCCAAGACAACCTCCTTACCATTGCTCACACACCGCAGAACTCCTAATGATAGTTCTCAGATCCAGACTGTGTGTTCCTCTTTCCAAGCATTACCCAAGCAACTGACAAAGACTACTTAGCTTGTGTTCTTGATAAGCCTTGAGCAGCTGTACTAAGATCTCACTGAAATGTACTCATGAGATTATAAAGAGGCTTTTTTTCTCCTTAAATTAACAATGGGTTACTTGTGCAAGAATGTTGCATTAGAAGAATGGAGAACAGCTTGTGAGCTCTGACTGAATTTCATTTGGGTGATTTTCAGCCATGCTTGATACCGAGATCTTATAATAATAATCCTTTCAAGAAAGGATGACGTTGAAAACTGTGAAGTGTAGTGGCTGTGTATATTGTAAGTGAACACAGCAGCCATATTGCATGCAGCAATGCCCCACAAATTGCCATGAAGTGAATTTATCTGGTGGGGCTGTTAGCCAGAACACCAGGAGAAGATAACTTATTTTTTTCAATAGTGCCCTGGAATCTCTGATATCCTCCTGAACAGGCAGATGGCATCTTAGTTTATCATTTCATCTGAAGGACAGCATCACTGACAATACAGTGTTCACTTGCAGAAAGGAGTGAAACAAAGGGAACCAAATTTCCTGCAAGCAGCCCAATAGCAGTTAGCAGTCCTGGGAGTCTTTCTGTGGCCCTCCCAGCATCCACCCTGAATGCATGCTGGAGATGATTTTTTTATATATCAGTTGATATTGAACTAATTTCTGTCCTCAACTATCTAAAACAAGCCCAGTTACTCCAGCAGACATCGTTACCAAAATAGCTTTTGCCAACTGAATTGCAATAATTAAATTTATCAGAGCAAGAGGGAAGGTTACAGTATTTCAAGGAGTAGGTGATTTGAGTTTTGATATTAATTGCTTTGATATGCAATGGCTGTAAATCCAAAGTAAAAGGTTTTCTGTCATTTATAAAAAATGTAAGCACTGTTTGCTTTAGAATGAACACTAATTATTTGAACATGTGAACTAGAGCAGAAGAAATGTTTGAAAGAGTCCTATATCTGTGAAGGTTTCAGCCATCCGGTAACGAGTGTTCAGGCTATCTTCACCATGCAATATGCAACCGTTATCCAGCGAACACATGAGTTGAGATTGCATTGAAGCAAAGACTCAGCGACCATCGACATTTGGGTTGGGTGTCAAAATCTAACCGAAATTGTTTTGGTGTCACGGGTCTAAGTGTCCACAGATATGTTTGATGCTACAATCTGACAGACTACAATCTGACAGACTACAATCTGACAGGCTACAATCTGACAGACTACAATCTGACAGGCTACAATCTGACAGGCTACAATCTGACAGACTACAATCTGACAGGCTACAATCTGACAGGCTACAATCTGACAGGCTACAATCTGACAGGCTACAATCTGACAGGCTACAATCTGACAGGCTACAATCTGACAGACTACAATCTGACAGACTGAGATATTTATTGGAATGGAATGTACACTCTCTCCCTGGAAGGAAGTATCCTGCTTACCTAATTCCAGAAAGTATGAGGAGCAGGTTGGCAATAGCCAAGGTTTAGGGATCCAGAATTTGTGTTGGGATACTGCTGGTGTCTCACCAGCTAAAAACGCATAGCTTGCGTTTGATATTGCTGTCTGGCAAGCTTTCCCATTGCTTGTCCAGCTAGAACACTCTACCTGTCAGGGCTTTGGCTTGCAGGGTTAACTGAGTGGGAGCTGAGTGTGACAAAGCCCTGTCTCCAGTCTCTGTACCCAAATTAAATCCAGTATCAAACGGCCAAATCTACTAACCCATTACACAAACCACTGTGTGCGGATACGTATCTGGTTCATCTCGACTGCTGTGTTGGAATGTGAGGAGAATGTAACTGTCTTCCTGTACAATGAATAATACGCATGTTATTGTGGTCTTGTAGGAGTCCCAGGAAAGAGGAATGAGCGGAACTATGAATGCTGTGAGGAGCCCTATACTGATGTGACCTACACTGTAACAATGCGTCGGCGTACACTGTATTACGGATTAAATCTACTGATTCCATGCGTCTTGATATCTGGGCTGGCGCTCCTTGTATTCTTATTGCCGGCTGATTCTGGAGAGAAAATTTCATTAGGTAAGTCTTAATAATGTACCCTTCCATCGCAGCTTGAGTCATGGCCCCTCTGATTGGCTCCTGTCAGCGCCTCCACACCTCAGGCATCACCATCCATGGATGCACACTCCACCTCATTGAGCCAGTGAGGAACCTCAGTGTCCTGTTCGACCCTCAACTCTCCTTTCTACCCCACATCCGTGCCTTGACCCTTTCTGCCTTCCCCCACCTCTGCAACATTGCCCAGCTCCACCACTGCCTCACCCCTGAGGCTGCCAAAACCCTCATCCATCCATTTATTACAACTAGGCTCAATTACGCCAACTTGCAGCTTGTCAGCCTCCTCAACTCTTTCCTCCACAAGCTGCAGATCATCCAGAACCCTGCAACTCGTGTCCTCTCCCGCACCAGGCTCCATGATCCTATCACCTTCAAACCACTCCACAGCCTTGCTCCTTCCTACCTCTGTGACCTACTAAAGCCATATCAACCTGTTCACTCAGCATCCTCCAGCCTGCTTCACATTCTCCTCCTGCTTCACGTCTCCTCCTGCTTCGCGTCTCCTTCTGTTTCTCCCCTGCATTGGCGGTCAGGCATTCAGCCTCTTTGCCCCCACCCTTTGAAACTCCAAACAAGAGGTCACTAAATCCACAACTGTTTGAGGGACATTGCTGTCCTCTTCAATTGTGCCTATAGTCACCTTTCCTGAACTGCAAGTCGTGAGCTGGGCTCGGCTTCGCAGTCATTGCTATTGAGAACATTGTTGGGAAGGACTGCCTCTGGCACATTTGATGTAATACATATTGAAACCTTACTAAACGAACCCTATTACATTAATGCAATCCCTTATTTTTTAACATGTTGGCTGGTGGGCATGTTCCTGACCATTGTAATGTTAAAAGCTGAAATTGCGCAAATAAGGGTCACTACCATTGTCATGACACACGCTCAGTGCTGCAGAGTTTGCAGGGCACGAATTGCCATGGGTTTGCGCATCATTTCCAATGAAGAGTGATGTTTAAGTGAAGTGAAAAGGTTGTCCGTTTTCAAATGATGTGTCCCAATTCCGAACGTGTACTCTTCAAGGCTGTTTGATTTAACAAAAGGACAGGAGTACCACGTTTCTTATTTCTCTGGAGGGTTACAGCATTTAAAAATAAATGACAATGGGAAATTCACGTATATAATTAATATAGTTAAGTCATAAAACATAACTATTACCTTGAATATGCTGAAAGAATCAGGCAGCTAATGGACTTCTAATGAAATTCCAGAATTATAAAAAAATCCTTATCCTAAACCCTTCTAGGGGCAATAGGATGAAACGTCGAACCTGATTCATCAAAGCTTGCAGAAGCTTCCTTATATTATCCGCCGACATAATCTCAACGTTTGTCTCCAGAGAACTGTACCAGACTTCAGGTGTTTGTCTGTGCAGATTTGCTGCAATCCCACTTTGTAGAGATGGTGTCATTTAGGAGGCTGTGTAGACATACAATGAGTTGCATTGTCCACTGCTGGTCTGTGCGCTCACAGTCAGACCAGGTCGACCCCAAAAATGCTGGGAAATAGCATGTAAATCCATCAGCAAAGCTGCTGATATTCAGGTGCAGGGTTCGGACTTCCTCTGCCCTTGGTTACAGAGTGCTAAAGCACTGTCCCTTTACCTCTGCGTGCACGCAGGTTGTGTGACATCATGACGTTGCAGACAGGATGAGGTCTGTTCATGTGGAGAAGCCAACCTGGAAAATAAACTATAGGAGGCCCTATATTCCACCTGGTCTTATCCTGTAGGAACATCTTAAAATTTAAGATCTGTGCAGAATTGTGCAAACATTTCTTAAATACAGTTTTCATTTGGAAGTCAGCTTCTTACAGCTGCTGTAACGACTGAATTCGAGAATGTGCTAACATTCTGCATGGCTTAAATTTTAAGACAAAGTAGTGTGTGGAGGCAAAGGTTAAGTGGTGCCTTTTGTGCAGCAAGAGACATCACCTAACTCACTGGCTCTGACACCGTGGCTACAGCTGGAAGCTGTCCTGTAAGCTGAATATGCCATCAGATGTCAGCCATTTGCCATTAGTTCATAACAAACATCAGCGCACCATCAGAGCCAGAAGTTATAAAATGCTGCAGTGCCCAGCCAAACAGCTTTATTTCAGATTTTTTAGATCAGACTGAATCCTCCTTTGTGAATGCCTATTATCCTTAATGAATACCTATTATCCTATAATTAAAAGTTATTTTTCCACCTGAAAGTGACAAATCTGGGACTGAACCCAGAGAATGGTATTCCCCAACTGAGCCTTTCAAATCTGAATTATGACCACCTTTGTTTTAAATTTAGCAAAGAAACCTAGAACTGTTTTTTTTAAACTTTACATTTTTACTTTTAAAATAATTTTTTGGGGTCAGTATCCACACAGAGTACCTATTCCCCATTTAAAGTTCCCCCAGAATAAGTGAGAATTATCATATCAGACAAATTATCATCCTAATGGTACAGTAAAGACTGTTTTCTAAGGTTCCCCGCCCTGCCCACTCCATCTATTCAAAAAGAGAAGGGAGTTTACTCCTGGTGTCCTGGCCAACAAATCCCCCAAATTAAATTGGTCACTCGCTCCAAGGCTGTTTGTGGGACACTGATGTGCGTAACTGGCTGCTACATTTGCCCACAAAATACACAGTCAATCCACTTTACTGTGTATTCTGTGAAGTGCTTTGAGACGTCTCAAAGACGTGATAAGGCGCTATGCCAAATGCAAGGATTTTTATTATTGTTATCTAATATTTGGTTAAACTGAATTGGAACTGTCCTCGGTACTTATAAGGTAATGTCAACTAATTGTGTGCATTTACTGTATAATGTGTGACACTCCTTTCTTTCCTGTAGGGATCACTGTGCTCTTGTCCTTAACTGTTTTCATGCTGCTTGTTGCTGAGATTATGCCAGCAACATCTGACTCCGTCCCACTGATCGGTAAGTGCTTGTCCAGTGCAATGCTTTTCCAGTGCAATGCTTATCTCATGCCGTATCTGAACAGCATCAAAACATTTTCTTGACAGAATTGTTCAGTTTCATTCAATATTGTAGTGGTCATTGGGAGTAGTGTGGAAGAACCAGTCGATGCAGCAATAGTTGGTGAACAAACGAGTTGATTCTGTCCAATGTCCAATGCCAACAAATCAGGTAAATAGCATACAGCAGCATGAGGAAAAATCACTTAATCTGTGTCTAGAATTTTTTATATTTATGCAGCATTAGAGAAGGGGGTTTCTCTCTCCTGGTATCCTGGCCAACAAAATTGGTCACTTGTTTCCACGCTGTTTGTGGGACATTGCTATGTACAAATGGGCTGCCACATTTGCCTACAAATACACAGTCACTCCACTTCACAGTAAATCCTGTGAAGCTCTTTCAGGTGTCCTCCCAACGTGAAAGGCGCTATACCAAATGCAAGGATCATTATTATTTGTATTATTTCAGAGTGTCCAGAATTCTCAGAGACAGTCTTGATTTTGTAACTGGTTTTCTTTTAAGTTCTTTCAACTTTTCTTAAGCATTTTTTTTGAGCACTTCAAAATTATGACCCAATTCAACAATTGCCAAATTCTCGACACATAAATAAATGTTACATAAATAGAGTAAATTTAGATCCAGTTGGAAATTCTCCCACCAGAGTAAGTGACAGTAGCCTCCTTACTTGCTCCTCTTTAATCTTAGCTTTCCGAGGTGATGGAATACCTCTAATATCCCTCTAAACTCCAACAAAGGACCATCCACAGGCTTCCCATTTGCAGGGGAGGGTAGATTATACCATTGGGAGGAGGGTGGCATTTTAGCCTGTTGGAGGGTATTATGCTGGAGGTACCATGGATTCCCCTGGACTGGCCACTCGGACCGGCTTGGCCTGCAGGGTGCTATGTAAGATCTCCCCATGTGAAGAGCGCTATATAAATGCAAGTCAATGTTCTCTAATTGGACCCGACAGGAATTTGTACTAATTTCCAGGAGGGTCACAGCTATTTGACAGCTGACGCTGTGCTGTACCTTATGAATTTATTAATGTCCTTACTATTTGGCAGAAGGAAATGAAAGAATTGGTCCAAGAATTTTGCCTCTAGCCACATGTGTCATCAAGGGTTGAAGCATTTGCTCTGAAAAGAAATTAAAGAGTTCAAAACAGAGCACCTGAATCTTCCAGCTAGGAATAATTGAATACACTCCAGGACCAGTCTCTTGCTTTTCAGATCTGGAGCTATGATTAAGAGGGATGGTTGGAGGCATTCGTATCATACTACGAGAGGTGAAATTCTTGGACTGGTCCAAGGGGAACAAAACGGAAGTATTTACCAAGAATGTTTCCATTATTCAAGAACAAAAAACTATAGGAATTTTGCGCTGTCACTAGTTCTTGCTGGATCAAGCAGCTGGTTTTGGATAAGGCTGGTATGCAGCATTGGACTTGAACGTTCAGAACAACAAGGTGGCTGGCATGTCACAAGCTGTCCTGTAATGGTATCTACCACCACACTGAAGGCAGATGTCCGCCAGGTAGCTGATGAGGAAACTCTGAGGCTTGAGGTGATAGTTCCTGGAAGGTCATGAACACATGCTTAAACTCTGCACCTCCAACGGGTGGAACCATCACTCAATGAGAAGGGACCTGTGCCCGAGCTGTGGGCAGGAAAATGGTGGCAGTGCTCTCATGCATTTCATGCTGAGCTGTGGTGGCCAACTGGGAAGGTTGGTACCTGCCATCCACCATGTGAGGGCTCAAACCCACACTTGTCATTTGTCACATAACCAAGTAGTGACTATCCTCCTAAGGGGAGGGGGAGGTAAGTGGGTTCTCCTTGGAGCTGAACTGGCTTCAAGTTGACATTGAGGGCCCCATACCGTATCATATCACGTCATATTAATACTGAACTGTATATAAGCGACTTCTCCAAAAAATCAATGCAACTGGAAAGAAGAATTGAACCCCCTCAAGCCCTGGAACTAGTCAATCTCTTACGTTATCGACTGGCCATGTTTTTTCAGCAGTGTGTCAGCTAACACTAATGTGAATTGACACATTACGATTGTAGTGTAGTTTTACAAGTCACAATTGTATTAACAGCAGAAATGAGCTAAGTATCGATACAATCTTTTCACTATTGCATCTGTGATAGTATTTCTCTCTAAAACCTCACCATGGACAGAATGGACACAATGCAATGGACAAAACCATACAGGAAAAATTATAACAAGCCTTAGTTTAAAATCTAATTTCAGGATGATTCTATTTTATGAGCTAGCTGTCTGAAAAGCAGTGTTACAATACATTATTTCTATTTATTGAATGCAATAAATAAAACATCTGGAGCTTACACTGCCTGAACTCCTTGGGGAATGACTATAAGTACAGGAGACAGCAAGCAGGAAATATAAGGACATTATGGAAGCATTCACTGAACCTGAAAGTTTAAAAAGTGTGGACTGATCTAGGCTAAACAGGTATCCTTAAAAATACCTTTCAGCATGTCTAAAATACAACACTATTTACACATCCCTCAGTCTGGATATATGAACATATTTTTAATATGTTATTTCATAGCTGAGGGGATCTGTAGCTGTGTAGACTATTTCATTATTGGCATAATTGTGCATGTCAACAATAATAATAATCCTCACATTTGACAGTCACGTCGGGAGGACATACCATTATGGTATACTCAGTAAAGCAGGAAACCTTGTTCTGTCTTGCTTCACAGGGTATACTGTAAAATGCAGTAACTATGTTTTGTACATGAATAAAAGTTGGAAACTCAATTCTTTGTTTGCTGGTGAATCTGGAAACTTTTTTTTTTCTGTTTTAAAAAAGACCAGCAGTCTGCAAGATAATAATTCTCAAAGGCAGGAAATTAATATTCAATGTTAAGCACTCTAGTTTGCTTTGAGAAATGGGCTGGGAGCACAGAATCAGCTCAGTCAGAATAAATAGAGCATATAATGTATTATGGCTGTTTGCAACTGAATCCCGCATGAAGTTTCATTCAATTTTCACCGGTCTTCACATTAGGTTTTTATATCTCTCTGACATAAGGCAATAACTGCCACAACCAAATATTTAGGGATTCATAATTCCAAACTGCTTTGGATAAAACATTGTCCTTTTTGACACGCAATGGGCTATCTCTTGTTCCGTAGTACAGCGATGTAGCCGCTTGATTTCCCTGAGATATGATGCATACAGTTCTGATCACCTTGACATTAAGGGGCTGCCCGGGCCCGAGAGGCAGTGAGGAGGAAAAGAGGAGGAGGATTATCATTAGTTACAGAGAAATGGGCTATAAGTAACTATCAAACAAGCTAGGGCTCTTCAGTTTTGAGAAAAGATGACTCAGAGGAACTTCTCAAAGTGCTTCACAGAATATACTGTAAAGTGAATTGACCATGTTTTGCGGGCGAAACAATTGAAAAAGTAAACCCAGATCAATAGTTTAGGCCAGGTTGCTGGTCGCATTTAAAACGCAGCTGTGATGGGGGGAATGGTAGGATGGGTGTTCTGGAAGGATGAGATGACATAGGCTGAAGGGCCTTGTTCATCCAAACCAATCTTGTGATCCTGTTGTAATCTTGTGATGCTAACAAACCAATGGGCTTGACCATAAGTTTGCCCACAACACAGCCTTTAGTCACATTTGATTCCACAACACAGGGAGCACAGAGGAGCTGGGCAGAACAACAATAACACTATCAACAACTTGCATTGATATAGTTCCCTTCACGCGGGCAGCATCTCAGAGCGTTTAACAGTGACGGAGTCTGATGCCGAGCCGGGGGGAGGGAGGAGGTGACTGTAAGCTCGGTTGAAGAGGAAGGTCTTTAGCCGTAATCTAAAAGAGTGGAAGCAGTGGGCAAGGGGGAGAGAGGTCCAAAGCTTTGGGACGTAGTGGCTGAAAGCTAGACTGTCGATGATGGAGCGGAGGGGCGAGGGATAAGCAGGAGGTCAGCGCCAGCCAAACGGAGGAAGTGGGTAGTGGAGTGGCAAGAAAGCAGGTCAGAAAGGTGTTAAGGCGTGAAGGGGTTTGTAGACAATTGAGATGTTCTTGAAATAGATCCATTCTGTGATAGTACACCAGTGAAGCCTGGTGAGGACAGGTGTGATGGGATTATGGAGTTTAATACAGGTGAGAATAGGCAGCAGAATGAAACTCTCTGGGCTCAGGAAAGAGATCTAGTTTGTTGTGTGTTTAACAAGTGTTGAACTTGTTTCTGTGAGATGCAAAGTAAACCTCTAAACTTTTGGCACCACACCTGGGTCCAGGTTTAGAAAGTGACAAAATGAGTTGAATCATGTATTATAATAATAATAATCCTTGCATTTGATATGCGCCTTTTACATTGGAAGGATGTCTTAAAGCATTTCACAGGATTTTACTGTAAAGTATGACTGTAATTTGTAGACAATTTGCTGAAGCCAATTTTCAGACAGCAATATACCACAAAAGGCCATAAAGTGAATGACTAATTTTATCTGGAAGATTGTTGGCCAGGACATCAGAAGAAAGTTTATTTTCAAGTAGTGTCATGGGATCGTGATAAAGTCCACTTAGACAAACAGAGGGACCTGGGTTTAACATTTCATCTCCAACAACACCGCATCACCCCAGAATGAGCTAAAATGTTGATGTGGGAATTCAACCCACAACCTTCTAATTCAGAGGCAGGAGAGCTACCAGCAGTCACAGGCACTTTTAAAGGCTGAATGGTCAAATACACACACACGCACACACAGACAACAACAACAACAACTTGGATTTATATAGCGCCCTCCACGCCGGATAGCATCTCAGAGCGCTTTTACAGTAACGGATCCTGGGACCGAGCCAGGGGGAGGGGGAGGAAGGTGACCAAAGGCGCGGTCGAAAAGAAAGGTCTTCAGCAGAGACCTGAAAATGGGACACACATAACACACATATACATTCACACATAAACACACATGAATACAGATGAATATACATACACAGAATTACACAGGTACATTTACATAAAGACGTGCACCCCACACACATACACACACAGGTTTGTTAAGATATTCCTAGACACATTCTGTTCTTCAGTTCACACATGCCCTTCTAAATCTATCCATAATGACAGGTTAAGGCCTGAACACCCTCTGACTTTAGGAAAATGATTTCGTCCTCAGATTTCTTACGGCTAATTTAATTGTCGTTTGTTTATTTAAAAATACTTGCAGCCAGGCTAAGATTTTTAACCCCAGCTGTTACGATGGCCTTTTAACAATAACATTTTACTTTTAAAACTACTTTTTTTTAAACCTGCATTCAGCAAAGAAGACCGAAGTGCAGTCTCCACAGCCTGACTGAAGGCTCTTTTGCTCAGAGCAGATTAGGACGTCTTTAATCAGAGAGCGGATTTTGTCTTTCCTGACTAATATCGTCCTGAAATATTAATATTGTAAAAGCCAAACTCAATCTGTGCTGCCCCAGATTCTGAAGCAACAGCTGCAATAAATGTCAGACAGATAGCATGTTTTTTTTATTGCTGAAGTAGGAGTGATGCTAAGAGAGTGCACACTGCACAGACATGCACAGCTGAGCATCAAAACATTGCCTACCGCAGAGACAAGTGAAAACAAAGAAGATGGACCAATACAGCTGAATTTTAATATGATTTCAATTGCAATTGCTTCATTTTTTCACCTACAACCTTTCCTGCCTATCCCACAGACTTACCGAACCGCTACACAACCGTGGCATCAGGTTCAATCTCCAGATATCCTTCCTACCCTACATCCGGTCCTTGTACAGACCTTTCCTCCACCTCTGCCATATTCGCCTTTGACCCTATCTTACTTCAAACAGTGCTGAAATCTCTGATTCACGCTTTCGCCACTTCCTGCCTCAATTTTTCCAATATACTCCTCTCTAGTCTCACCAGTTACATCATAAACAAGATCCAGATGATTCAAAACTCTGTCACCCATGTCCTCATCTGTACCAGGCTTCGCACACCCATCAACCCAATTCTTGCCAGGCTCCACTGGCTTCCTGTTGCTGAATGGATTGATTTCAAGATCCTCACTGTCATTTTTAAATCACTTCATCCCTTGTTACCTCCCTTCTCTCCGGTCCAATCACACAAATCATGGAAAAGTATTACATTCAGTCTCAATTTGATGAAAAGTTATTGACCTGAAACAACTAATATTCCTCTCTCCATGGATGCTATCTGACCTGCTGAGTGTTCCCAGCGACTTCTGTGTTTTACCAGATTTCCAGCATCATTGCCTTTTGTTAATTTACAAAGTTGGTTTTCCACATTTCCTCTAGTCCTCTAAGGTTCTTACCATCTAGCCTACTGGACAACTTCTTTATTTATTCTGTCAAAGTGAATTCATTATTAACCTACATAAGCACTTGTCAGAGGACCCCTTACATGCAAGTTTCTGATTGATTGCTCCCTTTACTCCTTAAATTTTGGTTCCTGGAATTTTGCTTTGTAGACAGGTCAATAATATAAGGGGGATAAATACCTTTCAGGGAACCCTAGACAAATTAAGAAGATGTGCCATGATATGTTCTGCCTATGTGTCCATCTGGAAAGCCCTACCCACTGGGATGTTGGTTGTCAGAATTGAGGACATGTTTTCCCTGACAAGTCTCATCAATAAGCCAGACTGGCTAGATTTGTTTATTCCATTAACAGTGATTTAGATCATTCTGTACCTTCCTGGGCTCGTCAGAAGTGTGTTCTCTGAGGCAGATCTGCATCAGGGAGATCCATGCACCACAAGCACATTTTAGACATAGTGAGCTTAAATTTCCATATGAACATTTTATATTGTACAGAATTGTTCACAATTCTTAATTTCAGGCTTAGGTTGAATGCTGGCTCTCACTCACATTACCTGGTGTTAAAGGCCCACAAAATATACAATCAATTCACTTTTATTGAATTGTATATTCTGTGAAGCGTTTTTAGACATCTTGAAGACGCGATAAGGTGCTATATCAAATGCAAGGATTTTCATGATTATATAAACACAGGTTGTTGAGTTGCTTGTTGTGGTGGTTCTTTTTAACAAATGCAGAATTGAAGTATCAGCCTGTAAGATAATTACATCTTAAAATGTAATAACTGGTGATCTTAAGTTGAAAGACAAGACACTGATAGAGGCTAAGATGATGTGGAGTTTCAGGCCAGGTGCTACTTATATATACGCATATTGGGACAAACAAAATCAGTGAACCTGTGGAGAGTTATTGGCGAGTATTCATTTGGCTATATTACAACCACGGAAAGACCATTATAAAACCACAATACTGCAAATGCTGGAAATCCAAAACAAAAACAAAGATTGCTGGGAACACTCAGCAGGTCAGGCAGCATCCATGGAGAAAGGAAAATGGGTCAACGTTTGGGGTCCATGACGAAGTTTGGTAGAAAGTCCTTTCTCCATGGATGCTGCCCGACTTGCTGAGCATTTCATCAATCTCTGTTTTTGTTATGGAAAGACCATTATTGACGTGTGATAAACGACCATTCACTGAAGGGTTTCAGAAACTTCATTGGAAATTGGAAAAAATAAATGGGAACGCGATATAAAAGCAGAACTAAATATAAATGTTTAAAATTAAACAGCTTTAAATGGAAACAGTTGAGTGAAGGAGATTATTGCCTGTCTATTCAGGTGGACATTAAAAATTGCATGACATTACTCCGAAAAGAGAAGGTAGTTTCACCTAGTGCCCTAGCCAACAATCCCCCAGATAAAATTGGTCAGTCACTTCATGGCTGTTTGCGACACATTGCTGTGAGCAAATTGTGGGTGAACACGGTGCTTGCAGTACCCCTAAAATATTCTCTATGGACTTTCGACTCACAGTTAGCATGAAACCAGCTTTTTTTTAGTTCACTGAAAGCCAGCCTCACACTAAGCATGATTCTCAGCCATATGTGGCATCTCTGACTTATTGAACACAGCTTATTGAATGCAATAAATATTACACGAGCTGCAAATTTCACCCCATTGTTTATTTTAAAAAATAATAATAACATGATGCAATAGGCAGCACAATCCCTCATGTTTATTGCACCATCTTTAAAGAGCTTTCCAAAGTGACACTAAATAAAGCACACAAGCAGTCAACATTGTTCAGTGTCAGAAATTTATCTTACATCTACATAAAACCAACAGGCAACCAAAAAGCAAGCTCAATAGAACACATATCACATTTGTTAAACCTCTCATTTAACCACAGTAACAGCCACAAGTGCATTTATCCAGCTGTGGCATGTAGTTTTAATTGAGATCACAGAGCAGTTGCAAAATCATACAAGGAGCTATGTTAGAGAATGTAAAACACCAGACACCAGTGAGATGAACAAACAGGCTTACTGATTTCTGGTAATAATAATAATAATCCTAGCATTGGATACAGCGGCCTATCACGTCGACCCGTCCGCTCTTTCAAGGTACACTCAAAATGTACCTCGTCAACCTCGCTATCAGTCAAAGATTTTGTCCTCACCCAGCTCAGCTCATACTCTCAGCTCCCATTCCCAGCCAGAATTGTCAAACACTTTGGGACATCCTCCCGATATAAAAGGCGCTATAACAACAACAAATTACATATAAGTGTAAATTGTATTGCATTAAGGTGCAAACCGTCAACTATCCAGTGCCTTATGAAATCCTCCTAATGTGTTGTTGTTGTAATATGTAGTCCTAAACTCCAACCCTCCCCTTTTAAGTCCATTATCAAAGTCCCCTCTAACATGACCTCTTGATTTAGTCATTCACCATATGGCCATATAGTGTGCTATAATATATTAAAATTAGTCATCATGGTTATTTATAGTTGTGTTTTTTCAAGGGATACAGAAAATTGGAACTCTTCTCTCAAGGAAAATGTGTGCTAGTGTTACAAGGTTAGATCTTTTTACACATACCAGTGCCTTGGTCATCTCTTATTGTGTTTATAGTGTCTTGAGGAATTCATTGGAACTGAAGTGATAATGGACTACTTCACCCAATGCAGTTGTTTCTTTAAGTTATTCATGAGAGGAAGGATGAAGAAGAAATGTTTTGAAAATTGCTGCCACATTCAGCATCACCCTGATAATAAAATGTTGTATGGTTTTGTGTTTCAGCTCAATACTTTGCAAGCACTATGTTCATCGTGGGTCTGTCTGTGGTTGTCACTGTGCTGGTTCTTCAGTTTCATCACCACGATCCTCATGCGGGGAAAATGCCCAAGTGGGTAAGTCACCAACAAAACACTGAGAAACACTGTGGTTTAATAGATTACTGGCAGGCTATCAACCAGCTGTCAAATAACCTGATGTTTTCTTATTATTCATAAGATAAAGAAAGAACTTGCTTATAACAGCTCATCGGTATTTTACGGCAGCCATTTACACCAGTAAAGGTCCCACAGAGAGCTATAAGTTATGAAAAACTCCCAGTCCTCCCTGTGAATAGTTTCAGTAGGTCTTAGCATCTTCCAGGAAACGGATGAAGAGTACTGGGATAAATAATGATCCTTGCATGTCTCATCTGAGAGACAAATAATTTCTTCGCTACTCTCCCCCTCCCACACACACCAATTTCAGCACAATGATGTCTGACAGAGGCGAGAGTGCTAACAACTGAGACAAGCTATATTGTATTTTATTTTGCTCCTGCTTTGAAATCCTCCATCTCTGCACCATTTCAGATTGTTTTTGAAATGGTGCAAAGACAAAGGATTTCAAAGCTGGAATAAAATAGAATACAATATAGACTTATATAGCACTTTTCACATTAGGAGGATGTCCCAAAGCGCTTGACAATTTTGGTTGGGTACTGGAGCGGAGGAGGGGCGGGGGTGAGAGATGGGAAAGATGACCTAAAGCACAGTCAAAGAGGTATGGTTTGAGGTGTACCTTAAACGAGGCAAGGGAGTGAACGGAGGATAGAAGGTAATGAATATAGAGTTCAATATTGAATGGTAAGAGATTAGTTTAATGCGATGATATTTAACCTGATAATGATGAACATTTACAAGATCATAAGATTGGTTTGGATGAAGACCTTTTGGCCCATCTGATCTCATCCTCCCAGAACACCAATCCTACCATTCCCCCCATCACAACGTCAAAGTGCATTTTAATTGAAGTTGATTCTTAAATGAAAATTGCTTACAATTTTGCTCAATTGGTTTTGTGGTAAAATGCCCATTTTGACTCATGAGAAGCTTCCTAAGTAGATAGTCAAATCACTGGTTTGGTGTATCCCACACCAGCATGGGGTACTATCACCCAAGGACAACAACAACTTAAAGAGAAGCCCACCACCATGAACTATGAATTGAAAAATATTTTTTGGCCCTTCTCAGCATCACCCACACCTGAGACATATGAAAAAAAATGCTCTCACCCAACTGAAAATGCTCAAAGCAACTTTCCTTAAAAGAAAATGCAATTTCTATTGCTTTCAGTTCTTAATTTCTTTTCACTGAGCAATTGATGCCCTAATGTATACAGTTAATAATAGGAATTCAGATTCTAGAGTAAGTAAAGATTCACAAATGTGAGATGAATTCAAATCTTCATATTTGTATAAGATATTAATAACACAAATGGAATTTCATGTAATTACACTGTACTAATGTATAGAATAGAATTCAGGGTTTTAGAGGTGTTTAGTGAGCCCAATAGCTTGTGTCACATGCTTAATTCATTTAGATTATTGAGGCTCCACAAATAAAATGTCTCCTTCACCTTTGGCACACACATAACCTGATTGTTGAGGATAACGATTAACTTATGAATCATTTCAAAATCATATTTATATTGAAGAGCTTTAATTTGTGGGTGCTAGAATTGCTCTTCTGTGTGGTGCCCTGTAACCCATTAAAAAAGGTTTCAAAAAGGCAATAGGCAAGCTTCTGGAAATGAATAATATTGCTTGCATTTGAAATAGTGGCTTATATGTTGAAACATCTCAAATAGTTTTCTGTAAAGTGTAGTGACTGTGTATTTGTAGGCAAATGCGGCAGCCAATTTGCATACAGCAGAGTCCCATAAACTGCCAGTGGGTAAATGATTAATTGTATCTGAAAGATTGTTGTCTGAAACACGGGACAAAACTTCCTTCTCTTTTTAAATTTTATTATGGGATCTGTAATGTCCAAGTAAACAGGCAAACAGGACCTCGGTTCAAAGTCTCATCTCAAGAATGGCATCTCTGACATTGTCAGCCTAAACCTCAAGCACCAAGTCCAAAGTTAAAAGGATTCAGGGTCATTGGATAATGCGATGTACGAGTCAAAGGAATTTCCTGGGATGTTGTATAGATAGATGAGAAGCGCAATGGTTGAGAAGCTAGGTTTGAAAGCAGCATTCGTAGATTAGTTGCTGAGGTAATTAGGTTTGTGTCCATAATTGCGTGGTTCACTACTAAGATCAATATCAATTTTTTCAAAAGGAAAAGTTATTTTGAGGCTGGTGTTGTGATTTTTTACCTTTTGTTAAGCGAAGAGCTTAAAGACATTATCCTGCGTGAGCAGCGCTATATAAATCCAAGTTGTTCCTCTACCAGAATTTTTGACCGTTTATGGACTTTTTTATTAGTAAACAATTAGCTTTCTTCTACCTGGAAAGTAATAAATATAAGATAAATGGAATCCTTTAGCATATTGATTAGAACACTCACCTGGCAAGCGAGAAGACCCGGGTTCAATTCCCGGACAGGGAGAAACGTTAGACAAGTTTCTTTACTCCACATGGCTCTGTTTACCTAGGAACCCAGTTGTTATTCGATTGGAAGATTGCTTTTCCGGGGGCAATAATCCTTCCAAAAATAAATAAATAAAATAATTATTTGGTTACTTCAACCCATGACTGTTAGTGGGACACTGCTGTGTGTATACTGAATTTATCCATTGTGTCAGGTTATCTTTCATTTCCAATTGCTGATTCACCTGCTGTGAATTTTCTGAATTTACTGCCTTTATATCATACTTGCAGCAGTTGCAGTTTTTTGGATACAATAGTTAAATGCAGGCCAACTCCCTCCATGGTATTGTTCGAAAGAGAAAGGAGTTTCTTCCAGAGTCCTAGCCAACAGTCCTTTAGATAATCCATCCACTTAATAGCTGGTTGTGGGATTTGCTGTACACAAATTGGCTGCTGTGTTTACTTAAAAAATACACAGTTACTAAACTCATCAGCAATTACCTGTGAAAAAATATTTCAAGATATTTTGATGGTATAGGCACTTCATCAAATGCAAGGGTTATAATTAAGGGAGCTATAACACCAGGATTGCAGGACAGCAGGCAGTATTGTGCTGTGAGCCCATACTTATTAGGAACTGGGTTTGAGACCATTCATACTCACTTCACCGTTATAGTCAACAGATTGAGAAGTGAACACATTCACCCTATGAGTATGGGCTGCATTTGAACCCAGTTTTCCAGTAATGAATATTTGTGATATGAGGGATTTTATTAATGCTAAATTATTTACCAGTGTAGACTACATTTATATTATGGAGTCCTGTAGCTCAGTGGTTAGAGCACTCGCTTTGCAAGCGAGAGACCTGAGTTCAATTCCAGGCAGAGGGCGAAACCTTGGGCAAGTTTCCCTACTCCACACAGAGCTTAATAATAATCCCTCCAAAAACAAACCAATAATAAATTGGTCATTTTCAATCTACGACTGTTTGTGGGACATTACTGTGCGCAATTGGCAGCCGCGTTCGCCCATAAATATACAGTCAATTCACTTTACAGTGTGTTCTGTGAAGCGCTTTGGGACGTCCTCCCGACGTGAAAAGCTCTATATTAAATGCAAGGATTATTATTATTATCAGCAGACAATTTATCTCAGTGCTTGATACATGGTGATTCTGTTACCCTCAGTGCAGCACAACAGCAGGTTGGGATATGTGGTGGTGTAAGTGCTTGGGTGAGGATCTAATTGTGTGAAACCACCATCTGTGGTACTATGGGTGAATCGCACCACATTAAATGCTTTCAGAGTAGGAATAATCCATTGGATTTCCAATTTTATGTAAAAAGCAGTCAGTTGATTGCTGTGAAATCCCAGACGAATGAGAAACATCTCTCACCTCGTAGAAAACACAATAAACAAGTTATCCACATAACTGCTCACACTTTGAAAGTACAAGTTTTTAAAATGTTGCAACAACTTTCATTCAGAATCAGATTAATTATCAAACATACAACAAACATACATTTCTTTCAAAGTCTTAAAGCTAATTCCATAGTCTTAAAACTGAAAATGGATTGGAAAAACAGCAAATTCAGTCTTTGTTCAGGTGGGTTTTGTTCCTCGGGTCTTTCTTTGAACCAGGGTAAAATTCATGTCCAAATTATATTTTCCAAAATTCTGCACATGTTTTCATTTTGGGTCTGGTGTTCTGTTGCATGTCCATTATGACTAGAGCCTTGGACCTTCACAACAGCAACAACAACTTGCATTTATATAGCGCTCCTCACGCAGGGTAGTGTCCCAGAGCTCTTAACAGTGGCAGAGCATGAGGCCGAGCCAGGGTAAGGGGAGATGACCATAGGCACGCTCGAATAGGAAGGTCTTCAGACACGACCTGAAGATGGGGAAGGAAGGGGCAAGGCGAAGGGATAGAGGAAGAGTGTTTCATGGTTCACCCATATTCTCACTATAAAATTGTAATGGAACAGTTCCCGAAAGGCTTTTATTGCTGAGTTACTGCTTACATAGTGGACTTTATTGCAATTGTATCTTAGCCCCTACTGTAATCAGCATCAGTAAAAGAGGTAAGCTGGAGCAAACACTGCTGTGAGTGTGGGAGAATATTGCTTAGCTGGAAACTCAATATGTGTAGTATTTCAGTCCACTGTGATGGTAATTGATATCGCTGCCAAACTATGTAGAGAGGTTTGTGACATTTGTGCGTGTGTCTGTGAATGTATTGGGGTGGTGATATGACAGCATGGTGCCAAGGAAAGCAATTCTCCCCAAAATGGCCATTTGAGGGGGTTTCTCTGTTTTTGCACTTCTCATAGGAGGGGACAGCACCAGGAGAGATGTGTAGGTGTATAGCGTAAGGCATGTGGAGTTGGGGAAGGTTTTTCCTTGAGGGAAATTGATGAGGCTCCAGGCTTTTTTTCTGCCTCTTCCTTTCTATGCATCTCTGTAAGGAACACTATATAAACCCAGACAATGGCAGTATAAACCCTAGGACTATATTCAACTCCTCCAGTTGTTCCTATTT